GGGCGTCCTAGGGCGCGCGGACAGAATGTCGTGTTGGATGCCTGAATCGATCCTCAAGTATAAGATACACTGCATGTCCTAGACTGTAATAACCGTTGACTACGAGTAGCCTGAATGTGGAATAGGTTCACATAGCCTTCGGCAGTCTTCATTTCCCCGCGAGTTCTTAATATAAAATACAGATTTTCGGTTAATACATGTAACACCATATTTATTTGTTATTCACTTACCAACGTTTCCAGTAACGTCAATAACAATATAACTAATAAATAATGAATTATAATATGGAACAAATTGATTGTTGTCTAATTTAAGGTACTATCACGGTATTTGTCAGAAGGGATTGGGGAGAAACACAAAAATTTAAGTCAGAATATATGGTGCAGAAATTTCAACCCGGGACTTCAAAAACACGTAAAAGAAGTGGTAATCATTCGGCAGCGACTTTATGTTGTAAAAGTAAAATATACTTGTTCAATGACTATGTACCAGCATCTAATGCTGTTGGATCTACTTACCATTGCCGAATCTCCTTCTCGGAAACTGAAACAGACAGACAAAATGCTAAGTTAGTTACAAACTGTTAAAGACGCAGCGGGAAAGAACATTAGAAGATGCCTATCTTCTGGGTTGTAGCATCGTCAGTCTCGTCGCCCTGATGATGGAGGCAGCAGGGATCTCTGAAACGTTGACGAACTTCTAACATAGTACAAGTCGCTACAACCCAGAAGACAGCCATTTTCGTACTCACCGCCGCGAAAACCTCAAATCCCACTTGGAAATGACATTCTTTGAAAAGTTTTATATTTCCTACATTCTGAATCTATAAGAACTACACAGTCCACAGTCTATATTGAAAATGCAACAGTGAAAGAATCGAAAAAGTTATTCTCTGCTCTTAAGACTCCGAAAATTCATTTCCAGGTCCACGAAAGCTCAATATTGGATCTAATCCTGTGTGATTTCAATCCAATCCAATCCTCTCCTACGCTATTCTTTTAAGATCCATTTAATGAAGTGGTGAATCCAAGTGTAGAAGTCTGGTGTGTCGTATGTAGGTAAGGCGGAGTCTCGAGTAGTATATTAAATTTCGGATCGTAAACTTATAGAGATACGTCTACTTGGAAGGCAGAAGCGATGAAAAAATATAATTAATAATAACATAGGAGAAATTGGCTTTGATGATTTGAAATAGTTGCACTGACACAGAATCGTTTACAAAGTCAGGCTTTGGTATTAGCGATATTGAAGCTTTGAGTTGTCACAGCAGCGACAGTTAATATTTTAGTATCTTCATTTTACTAAAACTGAGAATTAAAAACAAACCACAAACATCGCCTTTGTATCATTTACTCCGCACACCAGTTACCTAATCTCTTGTAAGTTTAAATAACTTTCTTGGTAGTTTACGTCGGATATGTTCTTTCCTAAACCAAGAGATTATACATCAAAACTCTTCAAAGGAAATGCACTTAACCAGACAAGAAGGGTTGATTAAAACGTCGGTTAATTAAAGTTCTGAGACAAAGAAACGACGAGTTTCCATTTTGTGACTGTGACAAGATGTCGTACGTGCCTGTCTGCAGTAAGGCCATCACATTCTTGGTCGCAGTGCGTCGTGTTTCTGCGCCAATGAGCCGCGACATTGTTTCTGTACTTTTAACGAAAGTGCATAATGTGTGGTAACAGCAGTAGGATAAAGATTTCTGTCTTGTTGCGCTGTGTAGTCTGGTAGATGTGAAAACCTCAAATCATACACAGCATTAGGATACTATAGAGCTCCGTTTTACCATCCATCAGCCTAAGCTACTGTTTCTTTGTTAAAACTGTTGGTGCCTCGATATTTCATATTCGTTACGCAATTTTGAGAAAAACATTTGAAACATAAAAATTTGGCATATTATTCTACTTTTTTACTTAACAAAGACGTCAGTAACAAACTATACAGCGTCAAATGATAGTATGATTAATTAAAAATTAATTAAAAACAATATCGAGGGCATAATTCCAGAAGGACAACCTTCTGGCTAATGCCCTCGATATGAAAGTTACTAATGGGGGCCTAATTTAGGGTACCATTCAAGCATATTTTTGGAGGCAATGAGGAAAAACACAAAACACTCTGTCAACCAGCCCTCAAGCCAAAGCCTCCTGGAACGAAGCAGGAGTGCTAACCACTCTGCTGCGACATTCGGTGTGATTCCGTCTTGAGAAGCTTATAGTTACTGAGCTATCGAAGAAATTTCTCTCCCACCAAATACCCATCTTAATGTAACTGCCATCGCCTTCCTTATCTTCCAATATTACGTTTTCCCTTTTCTTTCAAATCCTATCCATCACCCAATCCGTCGTACTCTCCTACATTTCAAAAATCAAACACAAGACGACTACAGGCTAAATGTCAAGTTCCTAGTCATGTAATATCTTAAATTGCTTATCTATCTCATCCTTATTCGGTTCAAATATTCTGTTTAAAAATGTCTTTTAAAGAAATTAAACGACATTCTTATAAAATAATAACGTATTTTGACTATTGTCTGAACACATTTTAAGCTTTTTCACATTTACGATACAACGCAGTTCTGCATTTCGTGACATACTGAAATACATTTTAGTGTTCGTCACACGGCGTCGTGAATCAGTATCGTAACGAAAGACTGGCGTCTGACCTACAGCAAGCAAGATCCCTTGCTACATAATGCATGAGTACAGCAGCAACTTTGAAGCACGCGAAGGTTGCCGAGGGCTATTAAGGCTTATCAGTGAAGGAACAGGCACAGCTGAACCAATCAGCACCCACATACACCTTCGGAAGTCCGCAGCTGGGTTCGTACACCGGATGCACCCTGAAATTGCATCCGGTATCCATCTCAAATGTTACTGGTTGTCCTGACTGATTTTCAGAGCACAGATTATGCAAATAAAGATGACTGACCGTCTTTTGGGTTGTTGAGCCGTGTAGTTTGGCAAATGTTTACCGACGTTTCAGACATACTTCGTGCCACCATAATCAGGACCATAATGATAAACAGGATTCTCACGGAGGCAACAAGTACCTCAGAAACGTCGGTAAACCACACAGTGCAACAACCTGAAGGCAACCATCTTTAGACTCACCGCAGTGAAAATCTCAAAACTCACGTAACACAGACAGAAAAAGACTAATTATGAAAATCTAAGACGACTAAAAATTTATTAAGATTATTTTCCGTTTGTTTCGGTAAAAGACGTAGTGTCCTTTCTGCAAAACCTAAACTTCACCAAACGTTGGCGGCTTCTCAAGAAAGTGAACTATTTTATTAGTTAAATTAAACATTATCAGCTATACTATTCTGTACTTATATCCCCCGACAAACACAGCATGAAACTGGTTATCGGTGAAGGCTCCACCAGAACCCAGACGTCCATAGGGTCTACAGCGCTCACCGCAGATTAATCGAACACTCTGTACAAAAACACGGTCCGTTTCAAATTGCTACATTGTCAATAAAGAGCTTCTCAATTCATAAAGCAGTAAACTATATAGGTTTATAGCAGGCTCAGTTAAGGCGCATTCCCATTGGCTGACAGAATAGCTGTTCCTTGGTAATGCATCCAAGAACGTCAAATATTTGTTATACTCGCTTCTCCTATAAACAATTTGGAACGTTTCGCTGATACGGTCCTCCCGACACCACGGTGTCTCTCATGCGTCAATATTTGCACAATGCTAGTTTCACGTCGGCTTTGGGGAACGAACGAACGGCTTAGAGAATTTTCGTTGTATAAACGCGTCCCAGTGGAGGGCACAATACATTCGGAGCAAGAGATACGTGGAACATCGGGTGAGACCAAACAGAGAGGATGGAAAAGATTACGTTATGATAAGCTTCATATTTTGAGATTTGAAGATGAAACGTAGCGAAACTGTCCATTGTGGTCTTGTGGATGAAGCTGTGTGGACTTGTAGCTGGGTAAAAGGTTTAGAAGAACTTTTTGAATAAGATTTAGAAAAGGTGAACGGTTAGGAGACAAAGGTTTGGATATAAGTATGTATGCATTGTGAAATGGAATTAATATACATTTTAATATTATCTTGTCGTGATATTTTCCAATTCAAATCTCTTCACAGTTTTTATTTCTCCCATATGTCTACGTGCTGCATATTCAGACAGAACAACAATCAACATCTAATCGCCCTGATGACGGAGGCAGTATGACCTCTGAAACGTTGGTTAACATCTACCAGACTACACAGCGCAACAACCCAGAAGACAGAAGTCTTCATACTCATCGCCCTGATGACGGAGGCAGTATGACCTCTGAAACGTTGGTTAACATCTACCAGACTACACAGCGCAACAACCCAGAAGACAGAAGTCTTCATACTCATCGCCCTGATGACGGAGGCAGTATGACCTCTGAAACGTTGGTTAACATCGACCAGTCTACACGGCGCAACAACCCAGAAGACAGAAATCTTCATACTCTGATGACGGAGGCAGTTATGACCTCTGAAACGTTGATTAACATCGACCAGACTACACACCGCAACAACCCAGAAGACAGAAATCTTCATACTCATCGCCCTGATGATGGAGGCAGTATGACCTCTGAAACGTTGGTAAACATCGACCAGACTACACAGCGCAACAACCCAGAAGACAGAAATCTTCATACTCATCGCCCTGATGAAGGAGGCAGTATGACCTCTGAAACGTTG